TGGTATGTTTCTATCTAAAGCAAACAAACGAAAACTAAATGCAATTATTTGTCATGCTAGGAACGAAATTCAATGGTACCATGAATAACTGTTGGATTGTAAGAACAATTCTCTAGCCTATATTTGCAGAAAACAGCAACGTTCTCCATCTCTCCCATGACAGTCTGTGCAACTAGAGCCTGTGAGGCTACTAGGTACAGAGTACGAGGCTGAGGAAAGAGATGATCGGGACATTTCTCACTTTTTACACACGTGTACATTAGTGGTTGTTTTCCCAAATCCCACATCAAAAGAGCAAGCACAGCAAGTCTTGTTCCCCTTTATGCAGCTTCCCTTATTGTTGAGTTACACTGGAAAAGGGGTTTTCTAAAATAATCGTGGTCCATAAAAGGCCCTCTTGGGCATCACTGGCTGCTTTAGTAGCTGCGTGCACAAGCTTTGTCACGATACATCAGGCCTGGGTGGATCGTACTTGTGCCTCCCAGTCCAAGGCAGTATTTCCCCAAAGCCGGCGGGTAGGTTTGCAGGTCACTGCAGACACCAAACTCCCCTTCAAGGTCACACTCAATTTGCAATTATTTTTTTCAGTATTGTCATCTGATAAATAGCCCGAGTTTAAAATGTGAATGCTTGCAAATGCTTTTGTTTGCCTATTAATGCATTTATAAAGTCTGAATGAAACATATGCACTGGGCTAAATCTTACATAACTAATAAACTACTATAATTATATGTTTTATATTATATAATCAAATGTTTATGAATTTTTCTGCACATAAACAATCCCTGAGTCTAATCATACATGGCTTTTGCTATTCTTAGACTGTGTGCCTAGGGCACATTCTCAACAGCATATAGAAATTTGGCCTAGCAACAGAATCTGTAATCTATGCTTGAATATTACTGCCCATTATAATTGCATTGCTTTAGACAGTCCTGTAAGTGTTGAGGAACTAATCTCAGGGCAATGTATGAGTACAAAAATTAGACTAATAAGAGAATAAGCAATTAGTAAAAACAAATCCACAAAAATATACTGGTAGTTGCACTTTTTTTTACAAATGCTGATAGTAGCTTTCAGCAATAAGGAAATGAGTAACGAGCAGGAAGCCTAATTCCACTCGACCCAAATTTAAGTGGCAGCAACCTAAGCAGAGAGCTAGCACCACATTCTAGCTGTTTTGTGCAAATGAACACGGTTACATTTAAAAGACACTAACAATAACAGTTGCCAAATATATACATGCAAATACATATTCAGGTCTGTGGGTATCTATACATGCAATTATCTAACGATCAGTAAAATAAAGTATCTCAAATCTGGTTTTAGTGTCTTGCTTAGTGTCTCTGGCTTTATCTAGACCTATCTGTAGAGACGGGTCATCTCTCTATGGCATCTGTCTCCCCAGCACACACGGGTTTCTTTACAGGAGCTCTCCCGGTCCACCAGCACAGGCAGTTCTGTCTACTCTGACCCTTCATATCGACTTTGTGTCCTGAAGGGCCATTTTATACAGATCCATGAAAAGTTTTCTATAAAATTCAGTTTATGCTAGTGGCATGACAGAACAAAGCAAAACAAACAAACAAAAAGTCCTGTCTGCCTGCAGTAAAAAAACAAAACACCCCCCCTCGACCAGTTCTGCCTACCTACGGCAGAGAACTTATACCGAATTATTAGCAAACATTCTGGGTGAATGAAAACAAAATAAAAGGGCTGAATTTTTGTTATATCACCTATTTCCTAAAACTTGCAGATCACCACCATTTTTGTAATGGTGAAATGTATGTAGGTAGATTTCCACTGGCAACTGCATAAGGGCATGAATTTAATAAGGCTGCATCCCTGAGAGCCCGGCTAGACGTGACAGTAGAGGGTGAGGGGGATATTTCCGTTTGGGCAGGAGAAAGAGGTGGTGGGGGTTGCTCTAAGGTTGGATGCTACTTTGCAAATCTGCAGTCTGAGCTTCCATCAGAAAAACACTTCTTTCAATTACTACTTGCAGAATGTGAATTTATTTTACAGTGAAAAAGATAAATCTGCATTTCCCATCTGGAGATCTGAAGAATAAGGGGTCTCACAAAGGTGGAACTGTGACCAAAATTTCTAGCAATGTGTCACATTCAAAGAAGAAATAATGGATTATTATCTTCTTCAGTACCAATAATTTTTATGTATTAAATAAAATTGCAATATTTATTAGGGGCCAAGAAGATATCCAAAGGTTTTCTCACCAAGGAGGTCAAAACACAGGTACCTGTAATGCAGGCTTTAATCAAGCAAGTGGAGGAGGAAAACTGAGAACTGTAAAAATTCACTGGTTCTGCAACCTTTTTATTAGAAATATATGCTTCTACAGGGGGTTTGCCTTTTCACACTACTATATATGTTACAGGAGGTTAAAATTCACAGAATCCTCTCACACACGTCTGACATTTGCATGTGTTACCTGACACAGGCTTTCCAAATCTGACAGGGCGGCATTTCAACATTTGCAACCAAAATGCCCTATCAAACTTTTCTTTCCAGAACACAATAAACAGATGTGAAAAATTGAGTAAATTCTTACTGATATTAATTAGTGAAGGTTACGTATTTCGTTTGCTTTTTTTTGTTTGTTTTCTTCATGGAAGAGACTGTTGACCTGCTGGAAAAGCAGCTGGCTAAAAGGCTGCAGTTTTGTGGACTGATCCCTATGTTTTCAGTGGATACCTGCCATCCAAAGGAAGCCAGGCACTGCTGTATACACAAATTCCGGCTTTTATGATCATGGACACATCTTGTCAATACTGCGTTTTTAAATGCAATCAAAAAGCTGTAAGGAAAAAAGACAGATACTAAGCAGCGGTGAGGAACAGCACAGGACCCTTTCCTACGGCAGACACCAGCTCCCTGGGTGGCATATCCTTCACAAGGGCCGTGGGGGAGACCCCCACCTCGGGGTGCCCTGGACTGTGACAGTGCGGGGAGCAACCGTGACGATGCCGTTGCAGCCCTAACCCCCCGCTGCACCCCGGGGAAGATGAAGCCCCGCTTCGTGAATAAAGATATCAACGGCCGC